TATAAAGTATGTCTATTGTTGTATTTATTCTTTTGGGAATATATTTATTCAATAATAGGAAAAAACAATATCAAATATATATACATTGGTGATATAGATAAATATGTAGATTACATATTTGAAGACATATTGCCTGACCATTATTTTAATCCATAAACCTTACAATAAAAAAAACATTGTAAGATTTATGATTTCAAAATGACTTGAAGAAATAATAACTTAATATATTATAGTAAAATGAGTGATACAGTCGGTATCAATGCTAAAAATATATTGAAAGACAAATTTATGAGTTATAAATGCGATGACTGTGAAATGCTAAAATTACCAATTGAACGCGGTTTTGCAAATGGCGTTTGTAATAATATTTGTCAATATATAATATGCAATAATTGCAATAGAATTATAAAAAAAATTGATGATATGAATAACAAGGATATTGATATTATAAATAATGAAACTATTGATGATGATTTAGAAATATTTGTATTTATTGAAATGAATAATTTCTTAACTATAGAAGGATTTGATAATTTATTAGAATGTAACGACGAAGGATATAATAATGATTTTATTTTTAAGTATTATAGTATTGTAAAACAATTATACAATATGTCTTTTAATATTAAACGTTTAAAATATGTTGTATTGTTTGATTTTTTAAATGATTTTTTAAATGATGAGTATAACACTCACGAACTTAGATATACAATAAAACGTGCGATTGGAATAATGGGAATGTTTAGAAAACAAATAAAAAATAATTTTTATAATGAAACAACGTGTGATAAAATAATAGAAAGACTTAAATTAATAATTTAGTTTTAGGCGAAATAGTCCTAAAGAAAAAACACCTTATATTAATAGTGAAGAAATGAACGGTATTGAAATCAATAAGTATATTAATAAGAAATGCTATGATTGTTGCCACTTTAAAAAGGAAAATATGGAATTGTATAAATTAAATTTACCTAATGGAATAATAAATAATATTATTGATTATTCAATGGGTGAAGAAGATGTATGCGAAAATTGTAAAACCTGGAGAGATAACCAAGCTATAATCAAATGTTTGTTGAGATTAAAAGGAAGACATAGTAGAAATGTAGAAGATGACATTTTGATATTTTTAACTGTGTATAAATTACCACCTTACGTTTATGTTAAACAGTTTCTTAAAATCAGTAAGAAAAGATATGAAATGATTTATGATATATTAAGGATGTTGTGTTATAGTCAAAAGAAAGGAGAAGATATTAAAGAATATATCAAATTTTATATTGAAATTTGTAAAAAGTTTAATGTTAAAAATACAGTGAGAGATATTAATATTATTTTTAAAATGATGTATGAAATAAATGAGATTTGTCAATTAAATTATTATCCTGAACTGAAATTATAAATTACACCATAAACCTTACAATAAAAACATTGTAAGATTTATGATTTGGATTTATGGGGATTTTGGGATTTGGGATTTTGGAAAAATATATTTTTGGGAATTTAGAAAAATATTTGTAAAATTTATGTATCAAATCTTGAGTTGAGGTTCTGTTATGAATTGATGAAAAAATATTATGTGGATTGGTCGGTTGAGGGGATTTTATCTGAACTGGGGGGTCCTCTTGGGTAGGTCATACACCCCCTCCCCTCCAACCAACATCGCACCTCACAGGGGGTCCCTACAAGAGGAACATGATCTTCCAGGAACCCTCAGGTGCTATGTTAGTGAAAGGGGAGATTTGGTCGCCTGCATCCCACTCGAATGAACCCTGTGTCAGTGCCCTCGACAGCAGGTTCTGCGTTTGCAAGTGACATTGGAAATGGTGACGAGCACCCCCCCTCCGATTTCCTAGTGAGTACGCCCAACATCATCCCTCTTTACTATAATAGATGATGTTGAATATTGCCAGTTGCCGACACACGGTTCAAGTGTGGATAGGAAGGAGTCGAACTCTGGCTTACTTTCGCTTGAATTTTGGATTCACTGTGCCCGTGAGCCAGCCCACCTTGCAAAGCTACATGCACCAGCTAGCCACCCAGCAAACTGAAAGCAAACATGATGGAGCCAACTAAAACACGGTCCATCGCGAAGCCCCAACACAAATGGTCCCAAGACAAGGCTCCCCTCCCCCCCTCTCCCCATCCCCGGCCTGAAGAAGTCCCACCTCTTTGGCAATGGATGCCGCCGTGGACATCGTCCGCACCGTGGGGCTGCTGTAGATTGCTGTGACCCCGCTGGAAGAGGCGTGCAGGTCTTTCAGGATCTTCTTCCCTGCCTGGCTGCCCTGCTCCCAGCCTGGCAGAATGGTGGAGGGAGCTGAGGAGGGGAGGAGAGGAGAGAGGAGAGAGGAGAGGAGAGAAGAGGAGCGAGGAGAGAGGAGAGAGGAGAGGAGAGAGGAGAGGAGAGAAGAGGAGCGAGGAGAGAGGAGAGAGGAGAGAAGAGAGGAGAGAGAAAAAAAGAGGAGAGGGGAGAGGGAGGAGGGGAGAGGAGGAGGGGAGAGGAGGAGGGGAGAGGAGGAGGGGAGAGGAGGAGGGGAGAGGAGGAGGGGAGAGGAGGAGGGGAGAGGAGGAGGGGAGAGGAGGAGAGGAGAGAGGGCAGCCATGAGTGGCACTTTGGGTGCCAGAACAAGAGGTTCACTGGAAAAGCAATCCTTGTTGCGATGGGCTCATTGCTGGTTTGAAGTCGTTCCAGCAACCTGCGGAACGGGCGGGCGGGCGACGGCGGGCGGGCGACGGCGGGCGGGCATGCGTGGGTGGGGTGGGGTGGGGTGGGTGGGTGGGGTGGGGTGGGGTGGGGTGGGGTGGGGTGGGGTGGGGTTGGGTTGGGTTGGGTTGGGTTGGGTTGGGTTGGGTGGGTGGGTGGGTTGGGTGGGAGGGTGGGCGGGCGGGTGGGTGGGTGGGTGGGTCAGGTGGGGTTGCATGGGTGCGTGTGTGGGTGCGCGGCTGCATGTGGGTACGTGCGTGCGTGCGTGCGTGCGTGCGTGCGTGCGTAGGTGCGTGCGAGCGTGCGTGCGTGCGTGCGTGCGTGCGTGCGTGCGTGCGTGCGTGCGTGCGTGCGTGCGTGCGTGCGTGCGTGCGTGCGTGCGTGCGTGCGTGCGTGCGTGCGTGCGTGCGCGTGCGTGCGTGCGTGCGTGCGTGCGTTGCGGTGGTGTGCGTGTGCGGTGGGTGGGTGGTGTGGTGGGTGGGTGCGGTGGGTGGGTGGGTGGTGTGGGTGGGTGGGTGGGTGGGTGGGTGGGTGGGTGGGTGGGTGGGTGGGTGGGTGGGTGGGTGGGTGGGTGGGTGGGTGGGTGGGTGGGTGGGTGGGTGGGTGTGTGTGGGTGCGTGCGTGCGTGCGTGCGTGCGTGCGTGCGCGCGCGGCGTGGCGTGCACGTAGGCGCGTGCGTGTGCGTTGCGTCTGCATGTGCATGTGGGACATGTGCGTGTGGGACGTGTGAGTGTGAACAGCGTGCGTGCGCGTGTGCACGTGTGCGCATGCGTGTCAGTGTCGGTGGCTTCCTTGTTTGCTTGTTTCTTTGTTTGCTTTTCTTCCTTACTTGTTTGCTCCTTGGTTGGTTGCTTGCTTGCTCGCTTGCTTGGTTGCTTGCTTGGTCGTTTGTGTGCGTGTGTATGTTCGTGTGTATGTATGCATGTTGGTGCTGGTGCCTGTGGAGGATGGTCACGAGAGGTTGAGGTCTGCTTCGACATTTGCTCCTACATGTGAATCCTTGTCAGCTTCTGAAAAGCTGAACCATGCTAATGTCAACCCCAAACTGGCCCATTGGACCTGGCAACCGCTGAAAGGTCCAAGATCTATGACCAGAACGAGGCACGCTGAGCCCAACTGCAAGCTCTCCAGGTGGTCAAACTTGCAAACTCATAATAAGCTAGTTCAAAAGAGTAGCACGGCCTAGTCACCAATGTACCAGTGCTCAGTGCCCGAAAGTTGTAAGGACACCTTCCATTGTGCAGGCCATGTCCCTTTTAGACACACCCCTTTTTGCCCTTTTCCATGTGAACTTGCAGGCGCCCCGCCGTCTTTCGTGAGCGGCGGATCATACTGCGTCTCGTCTGTTGCTAGCTCTGCCCATGCGCCTGACAGCCAGCGCGAGCGATGAGCGCGAGCGCCGCGTGCGCGGCGCGCGCCGGCCGCACGCGCCAAGGAACTGCTTGGGGGACGAAAAATGTGAGCCGGGTTTTCTGTTAAGCCCTCCTGAGGTCTGAGAATCAAGCCAATTGTACCTGACCACATCTGAACCTCACGCTGGAACTTTCCAGTGTACATCCCAAGTGCTGCTCAACGCGCATCCCGTTATGCATGTGATGTACCAAAGTTCCCCGCCGTGATAGGCACAAACTCCAGACATGATGCTGACATGCGGGCGCGAGACTTCGCCCAAACCCGCCTAGGTTGATTTCATCCAGGCGCTCTCCATGTCGCACCAGCACTACGTAGGTAGGCGGCCCCATTTGGCAGTGAAAGACTCGAGCCGAGAACTCCCACAGAATTCTTGGAGCCATGTGAGCGGATTTTCGCCCTTTCCCATGGGCCGAAACCTGGAAGACAAAATGGCCAAAAGTGGGAGCTTCTCAAGGTGGTCCCTTGGGTTCGTGTTTGAGGGGACATCCCAATTTTGAGAGGCACCGACACCCAATTGTGCTCCCTGGATGTACTTGAAGAGACGGTGCGGCTCTTGGTGTACATCGAGGGGGTGAACTAGCAGGATGTCAAACTTGTGGTGCGAAAAGAAACACTGCAAAATAGTGCTCTCACACATGCACGATATGCAAAAAGAAGCCGCCACGCAATCAAATTGACAAACGCAAGGCAACAATGGCAAAATGGACAAACATACTCCTGCCATGCAAGCGACAAGACGGACCCACCGCACCACTTCCCAAGCACGCCCATTAGCGCATGCAGACCTTGTCAAGGGTCCCATGTCAAATTGGCAGCACACACACACACACACTGCTTGTTTGGGGGCAAAATCCCGAGACACCTCTCCCATGAAACCGTCCTTCTGATGCTGCTCCGCTGCTTGCTTGCAGTCGGAAGCCACATGACCACGATCGCCGCAGATGGTGCACTTCACTTCAGCCATCCTCAAGCTTCCTCCCCCATTTCAACTTCATGGTTCGCATGATGAAGGTCAGCCGGATGATCAAGTGTGCTAAGACTTACTTTAAGAGCTGCGCGATCACATATTTGTTTTGCAGAATATATGCATCCTATGAGGCCCACCAAATTTGTCATGTTTTGGGTGGTTGGCCAAAGAGTTCCAGAGAGTTGTGGAGGGATTTCAAAGTCCGTGGCTAGCGGAAACCTAGCACTAACCATGATTGACTTGATTCTCAAAGGCGCCCTTCTACCGAATGCAGAACTGCATAATTCCAAAGCCGGCACATGCAGCAAGTCTCCCCAGTCGGTTGGCCCAAGTCCGTTGACCGCGGCCCGGCGCGTGTTTCAGCCTTATTAACACCTTCACCCCCAGGCACCCCGGCTTGTAGCTGAAGGCCTCCGTCTCTGGACAATCAAAGCCTGGCGTGCGCAGGCTGGCACAAGTGGATTCAAATCTGTGCCTTGGCCCGTGTCATGCGACACGGACTAGAAATCCCAGAAATGTAGGTCACATGAGGTAAATTGTGTCGATGATGCGCCGGCATGCGATTCCTTTGCTCAACGGGTTCATCAAACAAACCCGTCCAAAAGCCACGCGAAGCACGAACAACGTCCGAAGAAACCAAAGTTGGGCTTGGCGCATGTACAAATATCTTATTACAACCATCCATCGACTGCTGCCATTCTGCCAACCAACTGACCCACCAGATATGTCCCGCGCAAGACCCAGCCGAGCTTTCGGGGCGCAACTCCCCACGTGCGGAAAGCTTGGCCCGGGGGTTCTCGTGGTCCCGGCCCAGGTGGCCAATGGCACCACACACCCCGCAGCGCTGCTCGGACCTGAGCTGGGAACGCGGCGGATGGAGCCTGGGGGATGGTGGAGGGACCGGATGGGGGGGATATTTGGGGGCGATTTGGGAGCGATTTGGCCGGGGGGGGGGGGAAGATGAAACGAACCCTGGAAATAGTGGGGAGAAATCACTTATCAACTGCTGCAGGCATGAGGTTCAGGGTTTCTGAACGGTGGTGCGAAATGTGTTTTTTCCATCTACAGTAGGTGTCCTTTTGGTAGGTGGCACTGGTAGATTATGAAGCCAGGCCAACCAGGAATCCCCATCTATGTTCTAACTGAAATGAAGGGAGATGATAGATGACAAACTAGCAAATGATTGGAACCAACCTGCAACCAGCGCCATCCATTTTCAACCAAACTGAACTAAAAAACCCATGGTTGGAACTCTCTAAGAAGGCTTTGACTGCCCGGAGAAATGATTGGCTTCCCTTTGAATACCAACCACCAAAAGGGGTTGGGTTTCCTTGCAAATACCGACTAAACTCCCACCTATGACGCCTGGAGTGAAGCCAAATTGTCGCACTGGTGTTGTGGAGGTACCCTTCTCAGGATGAGCTCATTCCACTAACGCCTCTCCCCCCATTCTCTGGTTTGAAAGATGACTGGCTTCCCGCTCGTTGGCGTCTTAATCACCACCGCGTCCGCTCCTTTGGCGCCCGGGCTTCTTTAGGGTGAAACCCGTGACCAGCGCCAGCTGCTGCATGCCGTGGGTCCTGCGCTTCCGCGCGCGAGTCGCCCTTTCGGAAACCGTGGACATGGGTGGCCTGCAGAAGTGCGAGACCATTCGAGCACAGGCAAGGAGGACATGGGTGCATACCCCGCTTTTTGCCCACCCCATGGACTCAAACCCAGGGCTTCTTTCTCCTTTTGGGGGGGGGAATGATCCACCCAAAAGGTTTAAGTCTACCGTGGGTGTTTCCTTGGGGTGTCCCTTTCAAAACCACTCCAAACGGGGTGGCCTCAGAAAGAGACACACCCACCTGAAGCCGTTTCTTGATGGGTGGCTCTTTGTTGGACATGTCGGCGAGACTTCCTCGTCTCAGCCAGTCATCCCTAGCAACCCCAAGGCAAAGCCTTGCAAATCCTGGTGGCCTGTCCCCTGAAAAGCATCGACTTGTTGAGTGGAGTCTACAGAGTATGAATCACTCTGGACATCAACACGCCCATCCGCCCCTAGACTATACGGTGATCAACAACTTTCCAGGTCAGCTTCCCTCCCACTTGTAGTTTGGACAAAGGTAGGTCCTTTTGTCCATTCAAGTCAAATCCCCAAACCACCAATCCAAACCACCAACCAAGGGGTTACCATGGGTCATCGGAGTCGTGCTCTGGGCTTTGCTAGTGGCCCAGCCTGGCGTACTCAAACTCCGGGCTCTCCGGGTTGAGCAGCCTGAGAGCGAGCCGTCGGCTCCGAAGGGCCCAGCTCCAAAACACCAGATAGCTGTTTACTCATTCGTTCATTGATTTCATTTCACTTCACTTCACTTCACTTCCATTCCATTCCATTCCTTTCCTTTCCATTCCATTCCATTCCATTTGCTAATTCCTTCCTTCCTCTTTCCCTTCCTTCCTTGCTTCCTTTCTTCCTTCCTTCCTTGCTTCCTTCCTTTCTTCCTTCCTTCCTTCCTTGCTTCCTTCCTTCCTTCCTTCCTTTCTTACTTCCTTGCTTCCTTGCTTCCTTGCTTCCTTGCTTCCTTGCTTCCTTGCTTCCTTCCTTGCTTGCTTGCTTCCTTGCTTTCTTGCTTCCTTGCTTCCTTGCTTCCTTGCTTCCTTGCTTCCTTGCTTCCTTGCTTCCTTCCTTCCTTCCTTGCTTCCTTCCTTGCTTCCTTCCTTCCTTCCTTCCTTCCCTCCCTCCCTCCTTCCTTCCTTCCTTCCTCCCTTGCTTCCTTGCTTCCTTGCTTCCTTGCTTCCTCGCTTCCTTGCTTCCTTGCTTCCTTGCTTTCTTGCGTCCTTGCTTTCTTGCTTCCTTGCTTCCTTGCTTCCTTGCTTCCTCCTTCATTCCTTCATTCCTTCATTCATTCCTCCATTCCATTCCATTCCTTTCCATTCCATTCCGGTCCATTCCAGTCATTCCTTAATTCCTTCCCACCTTCCTGGCCTCCTGCATTCCTTCCTTCCTTCCTTCCTTCCTTCCTTCCTTCCTTCCTTCCTTCCTTCCTTCCTTCCTTCCTTCCTTCCTTCCTTCCTTCAAATGATTCATTATTTCATTCATTCATTCATTCATTCATTCATTCATTCATTCATTCATTCATTCATTCATTCATTCATTCATTCATTCATTCATTCATTCATTCATTCATTCATTCATTCATTCATTCATTCATTCATTCATTCATTCATTCATTCATTCATCAATTCATTCATTCATTCATTCATTCATTCATTCATTCATTCATCCATTCCATTCCATTCCATTCCATTCCATTCCATTCCATTCCATTCCATTCCATTCCATTCCATTCCATTCCATTCCATTCCATTCCATTCCATTCCATTCCATTCCATTCATGCATTCATTCATTCATTCATTCATTCATTCATTCATTCATTCATTCATTCATTCATTCATTCATTCATTCATTCATTCATTCATTCATTCATTCATTCATTCATTCATTCATTCATTCATTCATTCATTCATTCATTCATTCATTCTTCATTCATTCATTCATTCATTCATTCATTCATTCATTCATTCATTCATTCATTCATTCATTCATTCATTCATTCATTCATTCATTCATTCATTAATTCACTTCATTCACTTCATTCACTTCATTCACTTCATTCACTTCATTCACTTCATTCACTTCATTCACTTCATTCACTTCATTCACTTCGTTCACTTCGTTCACTTCGTTCACTTCTTTCACTTCATTCACTTCATTCACTTCATTCACTTCATTCACTTCATTCACTTCATTCCCTTCATTCACTCATTCACTCATTCACTCATTCACTCGTTCACTCGTTCACTCGTTCACTCGTTCACTCGTTCACTCGTTCACTCACTCATTCACTCATTCACTCATTCACTCATTCACTCATTCACTCATTCACTCATTCACTCATTCACTCATTCACTCATTCACTCATTCCTCATTCACTCATTCACTCCATTCATTCATTCATGTATACACGTCACTTCTCATTTGTGTGTCTCTCTAGCCACTCCACCAACACACCTTTGATTCATCCATGGGGATAAGTTGTGATTTGTGTTGGAATGCTGCCCCATGATCCGTGATCGATGGATGGGTGAGAATATCGTCAGTTTCAGGAGGGTTTTATGAAGTGAAAAAGATCGCCGGTGAAAACGGCCATGTGTACTCGTCAACCTGTCAGGGGGCGCAAAGGGGATGGTGGTGGGTACTCAAAACAGGCCTGAGCCTAAACACATGTGCCGTTTACGTGACGTTTCATGAGTGGCAAGCAACCCATTTCCACGTCACTTCACTCATTTGTGTGTCTCTCCCAACCCTCCCACCCAACACACCTTTGATTCATCCATGGGGGATGCGCGACCTGGTGTGTTGGGCCTGCCCCTCCATCCATGGTCAGTGGATGGGGCAGGCCAGCCAAATCGTTCCAGGGGAGAATTTCCCCTTCCGCAGGGCGACCCTGGAACGCTTTCCTTAAATGGAGCCCGCTGCCACTACACCCGATAGTGACAGCCTCCCTATGACTGACATGCTTCCTACCGCATGCCAGCTTGAGAGAAACCTCTCTCGTAACCCTCCTTCTTTGTTTTGTTTTCTTTCCCCCTGCCTCACCATGGTTCCTTCCATCTCATCTCCGCCTTCTTGGGCTTCTTGGCCGAGTTCTTGTCGTGGTGTTCCATGCCCTTCTTCTTCTTATCCTTCTCGAGCCTGATCTCCGAGTCCAGCTGAGTGGCCGCCTCCATGATCTTCGGAATCACTTTGAAGCCCACCTCGTCCAGCTCCAGCTCCGGGTTGAAGAGGGTGAAGTCCAGGTTGGTGAGCGCGTCTGCTTCTTCGTTCTGTTCCCGAGGCGTCCACCCGAGCTGAAGGGCAGTGCCCAACTCGCCCAGCTGAACTGCTAACTCCATCAGCACCACCGAGAGAGGGAACGCCGTGCTCATGTAGTGGTCGATGACGTGCGTGTTGACCAGACTGTCAGTGAACCCTTGCACCACGAGCTCGCCCGCCGAATCCCTCCACTGCGATCCGGGCCCGAAGATGCAAACAGCTACGGTGGTCGCGATCAGCTCCAGGCTAGCTATCACGCGGAACGGCTCGCCCTTCACGTAGGCCCACGGGGCCGTTTCCGTGTCAGCTCCAGCGAGAACCACCGGGCCTCCGTGGTGGCGCGACCTCCGAAGGACTCCCATCCTCCGACCACCACCAGATCTCCCTCCGCCTTGGCGTCCACCCGAAAGAGTTCGCCCACCTTCTTTGGCAGCGGCCGCGGCTCCGTCAGAGGACGCCGAGTGATCTCCACTTTGATGAACTCCAGCACGATCTGCACCGCCATCGGCACCTGATGAAAACCTCCCGGCTGAAGCCTAGAGGTCCACGCGAAGATCACCCCCAGGAAGGGGCGTACCTGCACCAGCGCGCCCGCCACGAACGAAAGCCGCCCCAGCGCTGATCTCATCCGGCTGCCCAGGATGCTGCCCTCGTCCTTGACCTCCTTTATCCAGCCGAGGACCCACGCTACCTTGCTGTCCCCTATGCCCTTGAGGTAGTGCTGAATGTCGGCCTCGTAGCCGATCCAGCCTAGCCTGGCCCCTCCAGCCACCTTCTTCCATGTGATCGGCACCTCCACCACGTCCATCACGAAGAACCAGTAGAGGATCCGCCTCCAGCAGTCCGCACCGTGAGCCCCGAGGAGCCCATCGTCAGCAAATAGCAGGTGATAGAGCTCGTAGGCTCCGGCCGACATGTAGTGTGCCAACCTGGTGACTGCCGCTGCCACCCTCTGCCACCAGTAGGCTGCCGACCCGAAACCGAAGGCCCCCACCGTGTGCATGAAGACCTCTTCCGGCCTCTCCAAGCTGAAGGCCATGAGTGGCCAGTCCTGCTCCTTGACGGGCACCAACTTGTGTGCACGGCTGACATCGTACTTCATGAGCAACCTGACTGCCGGGTTCGCTGCCTGGTCCGCCTTCATCTGCCTGACCATCGCCTCCAAGTCGTCCACCCCCGGGAACCTCATGCGGTCCCTCACCCGAATCCGGTGGTTGATCATCACCTCGTGGGTTGCGTCGTGAATGATCCTCACCTTTGATGACCCCAACTCCTTGGGGACCGCCCCCAGAGAGGCCACCGCTAATCTGCCTCCGAATCTTTCCCCCGCCGCCTGCTTGTCCATCCGGATCACGTGGCCCCTCTCGATGTCTTCCTCCACCTGCCGCCGAATGTCCTCCATGTTGTCCACCGCCGAGCCGTAGTTCTCGCACCAGACCTCCTTGAAGGGGCCATCCACCTCTTCGAGATTCCACTTCACCTTGGCTTCGAAGACCGCAGGCACCCGGGGCATCTCTTCGTCCACACCCAGGTCCACCCCCGTTTCCACCAAGGGGATGAGGAACTGGTGATCGGGGTCCTCCGCAACTCTCAGCAGGGCCTCCATCCTCCTGTAGTGGATCTCGCACCCCAGAGAGGCCAGCTTGACGTCCACCTCCCTCCGGCAGCCGTCCACAAATTTTCCGAACGGCGAGCCGGTGAGCCTGCCCGCCGCCATCTGCCAGAACGTCTCCTGGCCTCTTTCCTGACTCAGCCAACCTTTGAAGAACTTCGTGATGATCTCCCTGATCTCGCAAAAGTGGGCGCCCTCGGGAAAGTTCCTGGCCCCCACTCTCCATCTTCCCGGTGAACAGAGTCCTCCTCCGTCGTGAACGCCCCTCTTCTTGCCTTTGTAGCAGGCCTGCATAGGCCTCCCTACTCCCCAAAATCCCTTCACCTCGAAATCCTTTTCTCCACCGAACTTGCCCTCCTTGATGTCCCCGTCCGTCTCCTTCATGGTGTCCCAGGCGACCTTGCCCTTTGGGGAGTCCTTGATCGTTGCCTTCTTGATGTCCCAGGCGACCTTGCCCTTTGGGGAGTCCTTGATCGTTTCCTTCTCGAGCGCCTCCTTCTCGACAAGCCCTTCCACCCCTTCCGCAGGGGGCTTGGTGAGATGTGGTGCCTCCAGCAACGCCTGATTGATAGCCGCTGCCAGGGCCGTGTCCATGTCTGCGGGGTAGGTTGATGCTGCCGGGGTCCGGAAGGCTTCCTCCGGGTGCTGTTTGGCCAGACCGTACTTGTGGTTGTGGCCGCAATGCCTCGGCAGCGGGCCCAGGTATCTCCCCTGGCCGTCCAGTTGGGGCCACTGGTTATAGAGGAAACTGGCGTGCAGCGGGAGGTCTGTCAGCAAGCGCGTTGGCTTGGGGGTTGGGGCCCCCCAGTTGCACTGGTGCAGAGCGATGGACTGCATGCCCTCGAGCTTCTCCGCTGCGTTCCGGAGGTCCGGCAGCTTCCAAATGGATGCAGGACGCGCCCATTTACCCGACAGGTCGCACCACGTAGTGCCCAACAACATCAGGATGTCGATGAACAAAACGATCATGATGTTACCTTCATCCGCCCGCTTCTGCAGCTTCTCTGAGAGCCATGGGTACCCCCAAGGCCTTGTTTCGTCTCGTACTGGCTTGGGTCCGAAGTGATTGGCCCAAGTCACGCGCGACCACGTGCCACAAGGAGGGGTGACAATGATCACCGCGTACTTGCCCCCCTTGATCTGCTCCAGGACACCCTGCCGCTTGCCCTCGTCCGTGAGGTCGTGGTCCGGGTTCCTGAGAATGTCCCACTCTTCCAAGAGCACCTTGTAGCCCGCTTTCGAAGCCATCTCTCGCAGTTGGCTGCCCGTCGATGACTTCCTTTCCTCGCCGCTGAAGAGGTACAGCACGTTGAAGGTGCGCCCCGGCTCCTCTTGCCCAGCCGGGGCTACCTGCGGTCCTCAGTGTTCGTCCTTCCCCCCTTCGTTGGGGTTGGGACGACACAGATGCTGTGGGTGAGCCCCCAGGCATTTGCGGCAGCAGTGCACGCGGCTGCATGGGCCCCGGCACCTCTCTTGCGGATTGTTGTACTTGTAGCAGATCTGCCTGCCATCAAGTGTAGTGCTGTGCCACGCCCCCTCCTGCGCGTTGCCACCCTTGGCCTTGCCGCTGGCCCCCTTTCCTTTAGGCTTCCCCTTGTTCCGTCCTTTCGAACGGTCCATTCGGGACTCGCGCTCCCGGCCCCGACTCCTTCTCCAGCTCCTTGACCTGCTCTTGGCGGTCACCCAGCTGTTGCACGCCAGTGGAGTGGTCAGGAAGCGCTCCTTCACCAGGGGGTCCACCATGGCCTCCTCCAGAGAGTCCACCCAGCTGTGCCCTTTGTTGACCTTCTTGATGGCGGCCTTGCGGATCTGGTACTCGTAGGATAGCAGCAGCTCGAAGGAGGGCTGCGCCATGCTGCGGCCCTTGTCGTCCTTGGCCCTTAGACCGAAGACGTGCTCCCCCAGAAGGTGGTTGGCGTAGCGACTGAAGATGTTGGGCGTGATCTGCTGGAATGCCGCCTTGTTCGGGTAACGAAATGCGCACATCAGGATGGCGTTGGCCATGAGATCCAACCTTACCCGCAGCTCTTCCGGTCCCGATGGCCGCGAGTTCTGCACCGCCCCCTTCTTCACCTTGATCGTGCCCGTGCTGTGGTCGATGACCGCTCCGACTGGTGCCACATCCGCGTCCTCCCTGCTGACGAACTCGGTGAGGTGCATGAACCGCCACTCGCCCTGCTCGATCTGGTCGAACAGGTTCTCGAGGGTGCCGGGCGCCGGTGTGACCCTGTCCTCCATTTTCTGGCAGGTGTCCTCGTACTTGGACCGCAGCGCCGCATGCTCTGTTCGTGAGACCACTTTGGGCATGCTGGACACGGTGGCCTCGGCCTCGACCTTGTTGCGCGTTTCCACCCGCACCCTCGCTGCTTCCCATGCGTCGACCACCGCCGCGATGTTCACGTCTCCGCCGGCCGCATCTGGGTCGATGTTGAGTGTCCTCCGGCAGAAATCCCGGATACCGCCACGGTCGTCCGCCAGCACCGCAAACCGGCCGACTGTCCTCACCCTTGCTGCTGCCAACGCCACCTGCACATCCGGCGGCACCTCCTTGATGTCCAGCAAGCCACCGAAGTCGGGGTCCAGGGTCCCGATAGCTGCCCGCTGCGCCGCATCCAGCACCACCGCGCCGGCCATGACCCCCTTTCCTTTTCCGGCTCCAGCCGAAAGGTAGCAGCATCCATGCTGGTACCAACTGACCCTCGTGGCTCCCCATGTCCCGGCCCTTGCAAACAGATCTCAATCAAGAGCCGCTCTTGCATGCAGCTCAACCGCGCTGCATGCTACTATCCCTCCGACCCGACCTCCCCGACGCATGAAAGCTTGCCCGATTCCTCATGCGCCTGCAAGTGAGGTTGTACCTCAACCTCACCCTTCCTGCCCCCCCCTTTCCCAAACTGTCGGCCCCGCGCCTGTCCTTTTCCTGCCGACCCCTTTGGTTTGGGTGGATCTGAAAACGGGTGAAACAGGCTAGTCCAGCGACTCCGTGGATGCCGAAACCGAGGATGAAATCTCGCTGTCCTCGGTGGCCCCCGACTCGTCGCCCGCCTTGACACCCCGAGGGAAGCACTCCTTGCACACCCGGTACATGCCCTCCGGGGGTAGGTCCTCACCCAAGTCCTCAAACCGCTTGTAGTGCACCCCCGGGACACGATGACACTCTCCCCCCCGGTGGAGTATCCTCCTCTGCGATCTCCCCACCAGACTCACGAAGTATCGGCTCTTGTATCCCTCCGGCGTCCGATCTGGCTTGCTGGCGGTCTCTTCTCTTGCTCGCCTCGTCGCCGTCTTCCACCTCGACGATCTCCAGCTGATCCCTCTCCGAGGCCCGCCAGCTGTCCTTCCCGAGGATGCTCGCGAAAATGCCCCCCTGGAAGCTAGTCAGCCTCAGCTTCTGGTCCTCCACCTCGTTGGCGTCCATCTCTTGCCTCGCAAGCTTCTCCACGACCTTCTCCAAGATGGACTCCTCGTCCAGCTTGTCGGGGCTCCTCGGCCATCATCTTCTGCGCCTTCTCCACGTTGCCCCTGATGGACCTGACGTAGGCCTCGTCCGTGGAGGGCTGCCATCTGCCCAGCTGCTTGGCCACATAGTCGTCGACTCCCAGCGAGGCAGCCCAGGACCTCAAGGTTGCCCTTTCGGAGTGCTCCGACCAAACAGTACCCGCGCCCTGGCAAAGCAGAATCCCTCCAGGCCGTCCGACCCCTTCTAACTCATCCTGCTTCCGCTGGCTCATCACAAGCTCGCCCAGCAAGGCCTGACTCATCTGCGACGCGTGGTAGTACTTGCCCATGGCACCGATGAGGCCGGTGCCCTCGC